CACGGGCTGAGAGAAGGGTGGCAGCGCATGGGGTTGTTGGCCAGGAGGAAGTGAATGAGAAAGGACTAGGAATAACGGGATCGGCGAAATGGGGCATAAGAATGATTTAGACCAGGAGGACGGGGGGGGGGGGGTGCAGAAGGAACATGAGGATTAGCAGTCCCTGCTCCCAGGGCCCCTCTTCCTGTCCCATTCTCAAGGGCTGCACCTTCGCCCTTTGGCCTCTTCATGCCACATTCCTTTTCAGAAGGTCCTATGGTGTCAATGTCCTGCCTATATGGACGAATCCCAACTTCTGTTCCACCCCTACCTCTCTCTTGACCCCCAAGACTAAAGATTCAGTGTCCACCAGATACTTCTTTGCAGGTGTTTCTCAGACCCCTCCAAATGCGCAGACTCTAGTGGAGCTTGCCTACCTTTTCCTTCGCTTAAGGAGGCGGTAGGAACAGTGACGCCGCCATCCAAGTCTGAGTTCCTGCCATCATCCTGATACCTCCCTGGAGCTCAGCACTGCAGACACTGACCGCTCAGCTGTGTGATGGCCTCTCCCATGGACACACACCACCCCTTCTGTGAGTCTAGGCTCTCACCATACCTCACTTGGACTACGCAAAAATATCCTCCCCCTTCTCAATGCTTCCAGAATGTTCCTCTAGCCCTCCTTGACACTGCTGCCAGGGTGACCTTACAACTGAAAACTGCTCTTTTCATTCCCCGGGCCATCCCTATATGGTCCCATTTTGCTGCACTCCGTGGGACTTTATGCTTGCTTCCGTGGATTCCCAGCCCTCTTCTCCTCATGGGCAAACACTTCTGCCCATTCTGAGCCCCCTGCCTACAATATCCTTCCCACTTGCTTAAAAATAATTTTTAATTGAGGCAAAAGAGACACAGCATAAATTTTATCACTTGGGCTCCGTTTTCGGTGTCTAGGGCTTCACTACAGACATCTCTGGCTTATAATTTAACTGAGGATTTCTGATTTTCTGATATGTACTTAGTGGTAACTACATTTTCTTTAGTTTTGTGGTACTAGGGCTCAACCCAGGCCCCCATGCATGGGAGGCACGCACTCTACCATAGAGCTGTACCACCAGCCCAGAAACTAAACTTTGAATTTTGAGCTTTTTCAGACTATCCATAGGTGATACACTATTCATTTACGGTGCTGGGCCATGGCATTGGGCTGATGCAACTAGTCAGACCTAATCATATATAAAGTAGGCTCTCTTTTTTTTTTTCAGATATTTTGCCCAAGTTAAGCTGATCTACACAGTCTGAGGTGGTTATTTTTTTTCATGTGTGTGTATGCATGTGGGTATGGTATATTTACGTGTTTGTGTGAGCGTGTACACATGTTTATGGGTGCATATAGAAGCTAGAGTGTGGAGGGATTGCCTTCCTTGATCGCCTTCCACCTTAGCTTCTGAGAGAGGCTCACTGATTTGACTAGACAGGCAGGCCCATGAGCTCAGAGATCTACCTTTTCATCCCTTCCCCCACCACCGGACACACATTGCTGTACCCAACTTTTATGTGAGTCCTGGGAATGTGAACTCAGGTCCTCAGGCTTGTGCCGCAGGCTTTTCACCAACAGAGTCACCTCCCTAGTCTCCACCCCTTTTTATGTGGATGATGGGGACCTGAACTCAGGTCTCCATGAGTGCTTGTTGAACTAGAGGCAAGAAAAGTAAGTTCAAAGCCAGGCTCTGCACAGACTTCGTGTGTGACTTTGAGCTAGTCAATTAGCAGGTATGATCTCATTTTCAAGGCTAGTTTGTAATTCTAAACCACACCCCTCTCAGAATTTCTCAACTTCCTCATTACCTACTAAACTAAGAGTGAGCCCTACCAGAACATAAAAACCCTCTGTAAGCTGGCCCCCAATTCCCTGTTTCAATCCTGATGACCCATTTCTACCTAGTACACCAGCTCTCCCTGCTCTCTCCCCTGGTACTAGATCACGCCTCTATCTCTGCTCAATATTTAATGTTCAGTAATAAATAGGTGCCCACCGTAACAAGCACCGGGGTGCACACGGCCCACTCATGTTATACACAGAGCTTTGTGCAAGTTAGAAAACAAGTCTGCAGTCCAGGTCCCCAACAGACCGACAGTCTTCATCCCTCAGTCACGGGGGTGGGGGGTGCAGGGCACAGCTGTACAACTGTGTGCTGCAGCCTTGGGAATCCAAAGGCAAATAGGAACAGAACAGAAGGGCCCCGGCCCAGGCTGAGGACTCAAAGGGGTGGGCTACCAGGTGAGGTCGCTCTTCAGCCGCTCCTCCGCTTATCATGGGATAATGCAACCTTCAGTTTGCTGTGTAAGCAGAAAGTTTTGACAGCCAACAAGTGTTTTAAAGTTTGTTTTTAATTGTATTGTTTGTGGGTGGGTGTTTTGCCTGCATGTATGTTTGTGTACCACGTGTGGGCCTGGCACCCTCAGAAGCCAGAAGAGGGCATCAGATCTGCAGAACTGAAGCTACAGACAGTTGCTAGCTGATACATGGGTACTGGGAATCAAACTTGGGTCCTCGGGAAAGCACCCAGTGCTTTTAACTGCTGAGCCAGTTAAAATCTCTCCAGTCCCAACATGAATTTAATACTCCTACTCAGGGGGCTGGGAGACGCCTCAGTGCGTAAACTGCTTATTTAGCAGCCAATAGGGAACTTGAGAGGGCTGTAATTTAGAATTCAGGCTTAGAATGGGACACAGAGATGCTAAGTGTGTCCTGAAGGGCACACAGAAAGCCGGTGGCAGAGCCTGGGTTCTGAATCCCTTTTCTTGCTGAGTTCAGTGCTGAGTTCCTTCCACAACTGTTGCTCTCCACCTGCCCACCTTCGCCCCCTGCTGGAGAGTGCATGTACTTCGCTGCTGCCCCTGTTGCTGTTCAGTCAACACCTGGACCCAGCTTCTTCTTCTGCCCTCCAATGTGGACCGAGACCAGCAGCTCTCCATGAACTCTCCAGGCCTCCAGTGCAAGTCGGGGACTGCTGAGGCCTCCAGCCTCACAGACTAGGAAGCTGCGGGATCTGCAGCCTCTCCAGTGTGTAGGAGGGCCATTGATGAACCACAGAGCTCCTGCTGCTGAGACAGTCTACTAACTGCAGCACACACTCCTGCTGTCCCTCCTGCCTGCTTCACATTCCTTCACAGCACCTTCTGACCCAGCGGAAGGCGCCTTGCCCATGGCAAGTCTTGATGTGTGGAGAGGGTCGCCTGTGCCGAAGGGGAAAGCTGATCTAACTCAGCAGTCTCCCTGACAGTGCAGAATGCTTTGGAGTGCTATGGGACCTCAGGACCCCTCAGCTGCCCCTTCCAAGGGTGCACTCAGATCTCACTCAGAGCATCCTTGCCTTCTTGACTTGGACACGTAGGTCACTCCCAGACTCAGAAACTTTTCTTCTTTGTTTCTGTAGTGCTGGGGACCCCACTTGTGCTACGTAAATGTTTTACAACCCCCTCTGCCTGAATAAATTATCTTACCATTTTCATGTTTCCCCTGAATCTGTGTCTTTTTATTTTTTACACAGGGTCTCCCTACATAGTCTAGGATAGTCCTTGAACACCCCTCCAACAGTGCCCTAGCCTTGGCCCCCTAAATGCTGAGATTATACACATACACCACAACGTCTATCTCTGAAGAGCCATTTCTCTGATTTTCCAGCTAGATGAATCAATCTTAATCTCAGGTTATAGGATTTTGGCACAAATGGTAACACAATGCTAATGGTAATTATCCTTAAACATGTATTGTGTTTGTACTCTGACCCAGGTATTGTGCTTGTTGCTGTATACAAAGAAGCTCACTGAATCCTCACAGCACCCCATGGGGCAGAGCTATTCTGTGACTAGACTCATTCTACAGCACAGGAAACCGAGGCACAGCAAGATCAAAGGACGTGCTCAAGGTCACTCAGCAGAGACACCTGTTCATAGGCAGTAATTCCTCAGCAGGCAAGCCCTCTGTTCTCTGGGGGCATTGAGAGGAGGGTCTGGAAGGTGGACACTGCCACAAGCCGACCAGAGGTCACCGACTGTCACTCTCAGATCAGGTCTCTCCTAAGCAGCTGTATCCTCACACAGGACAGATCCACACCCCAGCAGTTCACAGGAGAACACAGCAGTGCACGGGCAGGGCCGTGTGCAGCCCCGCCCCTCTTCCATCCTCCCCGTCACCCGAGGCTCTTTCATTGATCTGGCATAATGAGCTCTTTATCAGCCGTCGTAATTTCCTGCGCACAGCATCCACCCATTAATGGATGACTGTGTTCCACAGCTTTGCTGGGTAGGACGTTAAGTGCAATTAACTACCATTAATTAACGAACACCGTTTCTCTTTAAATATATAAATTAGACACACTGCACACTTGTCCCTGGAAGATAAAGCGCAAGGTGCTGTGACAAGCCAGTCCCAAGTGCTGTGTTCATCCTTCATATTTTCAGTATGGTTTCCAATCTGTCTAGTCCATAGGAACCTTTGGTGGCTGACGGTAGACTCCCCGTCAGAGGGGTGACTTCCCCTTCACTTTTTCTTTCCCCAACTCCTCCCTTCCGTTAGTTCTAAGAATCTCAATGTCCTCCAGGGACCGGGAGGAGAGGCCCTGGTGGGGAGGGAGACGGCTTCCAGGGCTGGGGCACCATCACAGCACCCCCCTCTTCTTCCTCCACTACAGTCTATGCATTGGTTGTTTACACCAATGTTTCTCTTCACTGGGGCAGAAAATTGAGAGGCAACCCTATAACAGGGGAATCTCTCCGTTTCCTTTTCCTTAGACACAATACAGCTCAGTTCTCAAGTATACAAACATTCTCTGTCCAGGCATACAACACTTTTAAGGTCCCATGTCCGTCCCTCCAGTTACTACAGTCTAGTAGTTAGCCTCCTCATGCCATCATTCTGGGTTCCTTCCTTAGGCCCCAGATTTCTGAACATGACCCCCAGGGTCAAAGCCAGAGTGTGAAGGCAGACTGCCTCAGCACCCAGCACCCGAACTCACCATGGTTTATCCCTTGGCCCCTTTGCAGAGAAGACTGTGTGCTGTTTGCTGCTGGAGGTAAGTAGATTGTCTTTGGGCGTTTTAAATGGCTTTGGGGTGCTGCTGACAGCGTTATGGCCGCGGAAACAGGCTTTCGTCTTTGCCTGTGCTAGTGATGTCCGGGAACTGGAGGCTGGGGATGCTGGAGAGGGAGGAGGCCTGCACATTGAACTGTGTCTTCTCTCTACGGAGGAAAAAGAACAGAATTCAGCACAGCATCTGTGGCCAGTGGGTCCCACGTCCACACACACTGGGACCTCTCCTGGCAGGGTCAGCAGCTCTGCAGCCTCTGACATTTGTTCTGATGTTGGCTTCAGTGCCAGCTAACAATGACTACAGTCAGGACTTCTGTATCAAATGCTAACCCCGAGGTTCTCACGGGAGGTATTTCTATCCTTCTGCCAAACCACTTCCATGGGAGTAGCAGGTGTTACCTGACACAGTGGATCAACCACAAAACCAATGTGGTCCCCAGACAGCGACTCAGATCTCCCAGAGTGTGGACAGGACAGAAGTGTTAGAACAAATTCTCCAGCATAGGAGCAACATGAAAGTCAGTGGTGATGGTGAAGGGGGTCACGGATCATGGAGAGCCTCGGAAGGCCAGGAGTGACTCAGTATCTGCCCTTTCCTGGGCCTGTAGGGACAGTCTGCTGACACATCCCAGTGGCCTCTTTAAGCTCACAGAAGTTCAAGAACACAACATATAGGATGCAGATGCCTGAAGCAGAACCTGCAGAAGCAGTCCCCGGATTTGGGAGGACAGGCACAGCTTCCTGTGGATCTACAGAAAGTTCTAGAGGTCTGGGCAGATACCTCACTTGTCACACACTGTCAGCGTCCATCTTCCTGGACCAACATGGAGGAGGCAGCCCCTGAGCAGGACTGATGACACCAGGACCTGGGACCATCCACATGGTGGTTGTTTTAAAGCAACAGGTTGGATAAAGGTTAACAGACTCTAGAAAAGCACATCTCCATGTGCCCGAAAGCTTTGTACACAGTTCTGGGAAAGAAATATCAAACTCTACAAGACATTCCCGAAATCCTAAGTCCCCTCTGGCTCTCCTGTGCCTTCAAGTAATTAGTTGATTAATGTTTGTTGAAGAAATAAATGATTTGGCAATAAATGTCCCAGTGGGAAGAACTGGAGATCACAGATCTATTGGTCTGCACTGACAGTGATAAAAAAGGTGGAAAGAACAGAAATCTGTGGATACAGCCGCCCCCCAGCCACGGCCTGTCTCAGGTTCTCTTCTGGGTGAAACATTTCTGGCTGCCGTGATAGGAGCCGACTGGACAGGAGAAAGCCAGAGTGTCCTTGGACAGCAGTTTGGGGTTCCTCTACCACCTCTCACACCAGTGGGCTGTCAGGGTCTCTCAAAGTTGACTATGGGAATTAGGGGCTACAGTTTCTGAAGATCATCTGATTGTTGGCATTTCCATCTGAACAGCATTCACATTCTATCTATAGAATAACTCTGTGGGGTCCTTGTCCCTCCCTGGCTCAGAGTAAACCTGCATACATGCATCATTCCCAGAAGCCATCCACTGAGGGTTTTGAAGACCACGATCTGTTGTAATGCTATGGAAAGAACAGAGGGCTGGGAGCCAGCGCGCCCTGGGTCCTCTCGGTGGGTTTAGGTGTGTTCACCGCTACGCTTGATCTTGGTGTCCATGTCTTCATCTATACACAAAGTGGGTCCCTGGATGGTTCTCGGGCCTCTTTCCACTTCTTGATTTTGAATACAATGCACACTAAGACCTTCTCCTCATCTTTCATGATCCCTAGATGTTACAGCAATAATTACAGATGGAGCATTGAAATACTCACGTGAATGGGCTTGTCCTTGAGAGAACTCACTCTATGTAAACTTGTCCTGGCCTTTAAAACCCCTTGTGACAGGCAGGAAGCAGCCAGGCATGTCTACCCTCCCCACAGCCAAGGTCAGGACCAACAACTGCTTGAGGAATAGGGGCCTTGGCCATGGGCTCAGGAAGGAAAGGGGTGTGCTGTGAGCAAGACTGGAGAACATGACGCCACTAAGGTTAGAAGTGGGCAATACGAGTGGACGAGTCTGATCTCTGTGAGGCTCACAGCGAGGATCTGTTTTGTGGCCACGATGGGACCAGAGCCAAGCCCCCTTCAAGTCCTTAGTGTTTTGTGTCCTTCAGAAACACCTTTCTGAGCAATTTCTTTCTTCTTCTCTCCCCCCTCCCCCGCACAGGATTTTGATTCTAAAATAAGATTTTATTCCTATCACAGCTCTTTCCTGTTTTTCTTTTGCCTCCACTCACTGGCCTGTCCAAAGCTGGTGGGGATCGGGGTCTATGGAAACATCTCTTTCTAGCCTTTGATGCCCGGGTAACAAAAATCTTATTTTCCTAAACTAATGGTTAAAAATTGTTTGAAGTGGTGGGTAAGGGAATGAATTGGGAACAACGTATAAAGATACACATTCAGCCAGCAATGGAGACACACACCTTTGACCCCAGCACTCGGGAGGCAGAGGCAGGTGGATCTCTGAGTTTGAGGCCAGCCTTGTCTCAAAAAAAAAAAACCAAAATATAAATAAAAAATAAACACACACATGTATGAAAAATACTGTATGATACCTGCTACACTTTGTACAACCTAAAACAATTCATTAAAACTTGAAGTTTAAAAACTGATAGAAGTAAGCAGAAATGAACCACAAATTGTCACTAATGTACAAGAATGGGGAGCAGGGAACAAGGGCGACTCTGAAGCCACCTTCACAGAGAAACTGTGGTCATGGTCTCGGCCCATACATTATACTGTTCACTGGTATAAACATTAAATCAATGATTTTTCTTGGTTTTATGGGTTTTTTTCCTCCGTAAGCCACCACCACCCCTCCCCCTTTCTGGCTTGCTGAGACAGTGTCTCCTGGCTGGGCTTGATTCACGAGGTGCTTGTGGCTGTGGTGACCTTGAACTCTGATCTTCCAACTCAACCTCCCAAGTGCTGAAATTCTAGGCCCGAGCCACATCACCTAGTTTAATGCTCGGGATTAATCCTAGGGTTCTGTACCTGCAAGGCAAGCACCTCCAGCCCCACACATCCTTCTCAAATATCCACTGGAAAGAACAAGTTGCATATAAGAGATATTCGTCAAAACCTGATGATCAAGTTTTGTGATTTGTTTAACACGTGATTTTATATTGAAGTAAGTAGGTAAAAGAAAAAATTTCACTCTTAGGATCAGTAGCCCATGAGAAGCCAGCATTCCAGTCCTCTGAGCTGTAGGAACAAGCCTGACCCCTACTGGGGCAGGTGAGAAAGGCTGAACAAGCCATCAAAACGGCAGAGCCAGGGGTCAGGGCTTCACTGGGTTGGTGATCTGCAAGCACACTTTTCACACACTGAACAGGAAGACCCTCATGGGCACCATCTGTGGGTCTCTAGTAGGTGAGGGCCTGCCTGTTGAAGCCTTGCTTAGCTGTGTCTTTGGGTGGGGATGGTGATCCGGGTGGGGACGGTGATCCAAGCAGGTCTTTGTTATGTACAAAGAACACACTGATGCACAGGTAGTCTTCTGGGGGCAAAGCTTCCAAGGTGCTTTGGTCAAGGGCCTGCCTTAGGTAGGTCCCTATCCTGATTCTAGTTCCACTTGCCCTGCTTGGAAAGGGTTGACAGGGTATTATATTCTTTATTCACTATGCAAATAATTAACAGACTTGAGCAATGTTAGAGAGAAGGATCCTTCCCCTCAAAATTTCTGTCTTTGCGATGTACACAGCTGTATTAACAAAACTGTAATCAACTGATATTTTCCACTATTCTTCAACTAACATTGTTTTATGTATATATGCATATCTAATTCCCATGTGCTTGCCATATTCAGTCATTAACATATTGCAGAATATTTAGCTACTCTCTTCCTGTCTGGCATTCTAAAATCTAACACTTAAGTGATTTAGGACTTTCTCTTGAGGTAACATAACATTCCCAATGTGAAAGCTTGCATCATTTTACATCTCCTACTACATACTTATTTCCAGACTTTAAGCCATTATGCTCTAAGTACTTACTGTTCCCCTACCCACAAGAAATCAGAATTTCCCTACAAGACTACCCACACAATTTAAATACTCAACACATTAATAAAAACCTTAACAATGATCTTGGACCAACTTTATGTCCAGCACTTCTGTCCTTTGGCCACTTATTTACTAATATACTTTATTTATTCTATTTATTACCAATTTTATATTAAGTATTTTCTGTGTGCTCAGAACTCTACTATATACCTCATTGGCTTCATAGCACTTAGGTTTACAAGTCCTTAAATGACCTACCATTATTTTTTCTATAGTTGAGGAAACTGAGGCTCAGAAATACAGTGAATTGCTCAAGGTATGGTGATGTGAGTGAGAATGCCCCCAGAGGCTCATGTATTTGAATACTGGGTCCTCAGTTGGTGGGGCTGTTTGGGAAGGATTAGGAGGCGTGGCCTTGTTGAAGGAGATGTGTCACCAGGGGTGGGATTCAAAATTTTAAAAGACTCATGCCATTCCCAGTCTCCGTCCTTCCCTCCCTCCCTCCCTCCCTCCCTCCCTTGTTCCCCCCCTCTTCCTTACAGATCAGGATGTGAGGTCTCAGCTGCCCTTGCTCTGCCACTGTGGACTCCAACCAACTGAAACTACAGACCTAAATTAAACATTTACTTCTTAAGTTGCCTTGGGTCTTATCATAACAGAAAAATAACTAGACATGAAGTCACAAAGCCAGGCAATGTAAAGTGGATCTGGAAATGTCTTTAGGACCTGAGCCCTTTATTTTTTTTCTATAGGATTAAGTTAATTTTCACTTAAAGAACGGGGTGCATTGCTGTAGACACACACGCCTTTAATCCTAGCCCTAGAGGTGCAGACGGTGGCAGATCTCTGGGGACTCAAGGTCAGCCTGCTCTGGGGACTCAAGGTCAGCCCCAGGCCAACAGGATTGAGTGAGGCCCCTGTCTTTAAAAAAAAAGGGGGGGGGTGTAGAGAGATGGCTCAGCAGTTTTTAAGAGTACTTATCCTTTTTACAGAAGACCCAAGTAGTCCACAACTACATATAACTTCAGTTCCAGGGAATGTGATGCCCTATACTGACCAAGGCACCAAGCATGCATGTGATATACATACATGCGTGCAGGCAAAACACATAAAATAAAA